TTCTGAACTCACCAATAAGTCAATATATATATATATATATAGTGTAATTCAAATTGTAAACTCACCATACAAGAGTTAAATCTAATATAGATAAAAGAGGCTCATACCATGACTGAGGCACAGATGATGGTCTTTCATAATTTTGATTATTAGTCTGACCATTAGTCTGTCCATTACTTTGCATAGGCTGTTTATCTCTTGTCAATTTTTGCTGAGGAACATTTGAATTTTCCTCTATATACCTTGTGTTGGTTGGTTGATGGGAATTCATTCGATCCATAAAAAATGTTAATCATCTTTCCATTGTGTTCATTAACTGCTATCCCATGACATCTATCAAGCCTCCCCGTGGATTCATTGGCTGGGTAAATAGAACAGTCAATGGTCCAATTCCATGGCCTCGTCCAATATTTTGAACAAGTGGTACAAGCTCCGAAGTGTTGGTCTGTTCGACCATAGGTTCGGATAACACATGTGCTTTCACAAGATGTGTTATCACATTATCCTATGGATTAGGTATTTCTACCTCTCCCTCCACTACTTTTTTCAAGCGTTCATTTTCTCCTTGTCTCCTACGTCTAGCCATTTCAATTAGTCCCACCGGGTGTGCCAAAAAATAAATGTTGGCTTTTTTGGCTTTCAAAGGTTAGTATTGTAATTTTAAGCATGCCAGCAACGATCAATCAGTCCTTACAGAAGATTAATTGCCAACCAATTATCAAATGATTGTGCTTTAGTTCTTTCAGCCTCAATGAAGAGGACTTTTACTAGTGGCTTGTTTAGGAGCATTTAGGAAATAACAATTAAGTAAAGAATAATTACATAATTTCATTAAGTAAAATGAAATACTTACAATAATCTGACTTGGCCTCATAGAGGTTTACAACAACAAACTATTTGAAACTATCCCTATGAATGAAGTGCAATATGGGAATTTAAAGTACAAAAATGTAAAGAACTTTAAAAACTGGAAAGGAAAAATAATATAGATAAAATTGATTTTTTGATCTGAGTCTGGATGCTTTACTCTGGAGCTTTCTCTATTATTTATACTATCCCATAGTAACCATCGAAGTGGGCTTCCAACCGTCGAACAGTCCTCCCATAATTACTGAACATGTTGTCTCATAGTTAGTTCCACTACACCACTCTTTATAGTTAGGCTTCCCTCCTGATTTTGAATTTAAATGTATGAGTAACCGTTAGGCCACACCATCTTGCATCTCTTCGCTGATCCAGTACTATGCAAATCCACAATAACCAATGTTAACTGCCACGTGTATGATTGCGATTAGAGATTTGAATTAACTTCCCGTATTGGCCTCATCTTGCCACGTGTCAAACTGCGATTGGTCTGTACAAAATATGTAGCCAACACAAATATCATAAGTTAAAAGACTAAAAACATAAGATAGAGAACCTTAAAGTGTAACATTTCAACTCATATCAATTACCTTCCCCTTTTGTATCTTAACTTCTAAACCAGCAATCTTTTTGGTTATGACGAATCAGATCCTTAACTTAGTTTTCATTGTTAAAACTTTTTTAATTTCTGATAAAATTAAGTGGTGACTATTTCGATGTGAGATTAGCAAGTCAACACAACATGGGTGGAAATGTGTCTTATACTCAAAAAAGGCATAGTGTCCACGGGTGCCTCTATTTGCACACCATATTTCATCTCAAAGCAAACCATTAATTGATTTATTTTTTATTACAACATTAACCTTATGTAAAATGACCACAAATCACAAAAGGTTATAATACACACCTTTTGTAGTTAGGTTCGACACTAAAATGTCGAACAAATGGTTAATGTTCGAAAGAAACACTCCGGACAAGTGGCTAAGGTTCGACAGAAATAATCCGAACAAATTGTTAAGGTTCGAAAGTCCAGAGTCGAACGGTTTGCAAACTGAAATTTTCACTGACATCTTGAGGAGTCTTCACCACTGGTTCTGTTCACCGGTGCCTTGAGGAGTCTTTATCACTGGTTTTGCTCACCAGTATGTGGGGGTGACCATCAATCAGAGAAAGGAGGGGGGAGATGGATCGTGGGTGGGGATGGAGTGTGTGAGTGAGTGAATGAGAGTAAAAATGGAAGATTGTGGGTGGGGTGTGTGAATAAGGGTAAAGATGAAAAGTTGTGGTGTGTATTGAATAAATTGCTTATTTATCAATTTATTAAAGGTGTGCATTGAGATGAAATGTGGTGTGCAAATAGAGACACCCAGTGTCCACAGCTATTCTTCAATGATAAAAAATAAGCTCTTTCTTTGGATCTTGTCTTTCCTCTCTCGCTCTCTCCATCATCAACAGCAACCCAGGTATCTGTCTCTCTCCCCTCTGTTGGTGCTTCATTGAGAGAGGAAACAAATTTTTTTTGATTTTTTGTTGTTTAAACAATAGATACAACAGATCTATGTATCAACTGAAATTGAGGAAGTAGTTAGCGAGAAGAAAGGGATTGAGAAGGAGAGAAGTTTGGAAATGATAAAGAAAAAGAAGTTGGAAATGGTGTTGGCTGCACTCAATGAGAAGGTATTAAGTCAGCAGAAAAGGGAACAGAGGCTGTGAGCTATGTGGCCGATTTGGAGAAGTATCTGGAAAGTGTGGAGATGGAAAAGAAGATAGTGGAGAAGATTGATGTTTTAGTGAAAGAAATGAAGCAGAATGAAAGGAACTTTGAGAGCTTGATTGAGGAAAATGGTTTGATCAAGAAAGATTTGAACCAGACTTTGATAGATTTAGATGATCAGAGGCGAAAAATTGATGAAATAGTTCGAAAGAAAATTGAGATCGAGGAGGCAAAAGTCTGAACTGAGAATGAAATTATTGAAATGCAGAGAGAGAGAGAGAGAGAGAGAGAGAGAGAGAGAGAGATGGGTGAACTTGTTAAAACTACTCCACTCCACCTACTCCACCTACTCCACCTACTCCACTACACATACTCTCCACCCACATCTCCTACATAAAGGAGACCAACCATGTACATAATATATAACAATCATCACATACAATTTATTCTCTCTCTATTTCTCTATACATTAATTCTAACAGTCTCTCTATTTCTCTTTATACATTAAATTTAACATGGTTTCAGAGCCATAAGATTTAGGCCTGTATTTCTTTCTCACCGGCGGGCAGCCGGCTGGCAACTTTGCCTTTGCTGCCCGCTGGAATTTTCTACGCATACCTTCTCACCCCCACCTCTTCTTACCTACCGCCGTCCCAAACCCTAGAGAGAGAGAGAGAGAGAGAGAGATGGGTCGTGTGATCAGAGCTCAACGTAAGGGTGCTGGGTCCGTATTCAAGTCCCACACCCACCACCGCAAGGGTCCAGCTCGGTTCCGTAGCCTCGACTTCGGCGAGCGCAACGGCTACCTGAAGGGCGTGATCACCGAGATCATCCACGACCCAGGTCGCGGTGCGCCTCTGGCTCGAGTCACGTTCTGCCACCCCTTCCGATTCAAGCACTAGAAGGAGCTCTTCGTCGCTACCGAAGGCATGTACACTGTCCAGTTCGTTTTCTGCGGAAAGAAAGCCAATCTCATGGTTGGCAATGTTCTTCCTCTCAGATCTATCCCTGAAGGTGCTGTTGTTTGCAACGTTGAACACCATGTCGGTGATCGTGGTGTCTTGGCTAGAGCTTCTGGTGATTACGCTATTGTTATCAGTCATAACCCAGATAATGGTACCTCAAGGATCAAACTCCCATCAGGAGCGAAAAAGATTGTGCCCAGTGGGTGTCGGGCCATGATTGGCCAGGTTGCCGGAGGAGGACGTACTGAAAAGCCCATGCTCAAGGCTGGAAAATCCCGTCACCACTTTCTCTTTCATGGAAGCCTTGACTTCAAACTTACCAATGGTTGTGTTTGATCCAACCACCGCTGCCTTGGAAGGCCTCACCGGCAGTGGCTTAAAGAAGGCGGCGGAGCTCGGAAACCTCTTTTGGGTGGCTGAAGTTAGTGGCGTTGCTGCCAAAATTGCAGAAGTAGAGGCCATGGTCTTGATTTCCTCTTATGTAGAGGTCCGGCGGAGGTGGTGGAGATCTGGAGGTTCTGCTGATGATGATGAAACGGCGATGGAGGTGTTCCCATGTAGAAGAGCATGCCGGAGATGTAAAGAAGCGGAGCGAAGAGGAAGATGCCTTGTCTGCGGAGGAGGACGGAGAGGAGTAGACCGGCGAGACGCTGGGCGACAGTTCTGGGGGGTTGCGCCGGAGAGAACCGCCCTCCCTTCGACCGGCTGTGCCGGAGCCTCGGCGAGCGCAGCGGCGACGACGGGCTGTTTATGGCCGCTGCTCGGCAGCCTGTTGTATGTCATAACCTCTCTTTGATGCGAAGAGGGCTTTTGTGCACTGGTATGTGTAGAAAATAAGCGGAATAGGTGGAGGTCCGGCGGACGGCTAAGGTGAGGTTGCCGCCCGCCGGTGAAGCGAAAAAATATTAGGTTCTAAACCTGCTCTGATACCATGTTAAAATTCAATGTATTATTGATTGATATCTGATTGATGTATTACAAGATTGATATATTCTGTATATTACAACTCCTATATATAGAGGAGAAGATGGTAGTGGAGTGTGTGATAGTGGAGGTGGTAGGTGTGGAGAAAGATAGTGGAGGTAGTAGGTGAGTGGTAAATTCTAACACATGGTTATTAACAACAAGAATTTTGTAACAAGTGACAGGTGCACATACCCATATTTTCAAGCCCTCTAAAAATAATAATGCATGGACATGTTTTTAATTGCATTCATAAGTGAGCCACAGCTCACATATAGTTTAACATGAAGTAAAAATAAAGGGGATTTGATATCTTACTTTAAATATTCCTTTCCATTGTATCCACCAACGGCATAGATTGCACCATTAAGCTCTGCTGCAGCAAGAGCAAATCTCTAAAAAAGCAAAAAACAAAAACAAAATAAGCATATCCGCAGCCTAAATGTTAAATTACCATTCCAAGCATTACACCTTAGTGCAAAACTGATGCATAGCTAAAATAATACAAGGTGCACACGCCTAAAAATAATTAATGCTCATAAGGGACCACAGTACAATCTGAACAATTAGCATGAAGAAAGCCATATTGAAGGTTATATTCCTTAAATACCGTATTCTAATGTTTTGGTTCTTCTGCAAATAAATTCCATATGTTCCCTTACCATCAAATGTATCAATAACTACTATTATATTACCCGAATATATCATAAGCAACATAAAGACTACATAAAACATTATACCCTTCATTAATTTAGTTTAAAATATTACAAGCTCAAGCATGGATTTAACTTCCAAGATATGCAGCAAGCGAGAAGCCTTACAAGCAAATTCAGGTAACCTGGTATTATGCAGCCCAACATATTTTTAGGAATTACCTTTTGTAGCATTGATCGTGAAGAAATCCAGCGACCAACATCTAAATCAAACATTTCAACATCTGCATAGCAATCTACCCCATTTGCACCACCCATTGCAAAAATTCTGTTATTTAGAGTAGCACCTGCTAAGCTTCCCTTTTCACCATTCAAAGAGGGTCGCAGATGCCACTGGTTATTGGCCGGATCATATGATTCAACTTCATGGAAATAAATTTCCAAAGTTAGTGACATAAATATTTAAGTGAATCGGAGAGAAAAAAGTGCAAGCTAATACCTGTGTCAACCCACAAATTACCGTTTCCACCACCAAATACGTAAAGCTCACCATTCAACCATGCAATAGAGACATAAGCACGGCCATGGTTCATTGGCTTTAGAGATTTTATCACATCCTTCGTAGGAGAGTAGGAATCCAATGCCGATAACCATGATACACCATTGTATCCTCCCACAAGATATATCAACTCATCAAGATCCGGTTCAGGATCATTTTAACCGACTCCATCGCCATTTCATCAACGCATACTACGGAAGGATGTGATGTGCATTCCAACATCATACATTGTTGTTTTAGTTCTTGAATTTCTATTTCTGCCTCAACCTGAAATGCCAGTACAAAGGTAAGGTATATACATAAGCACATCCACTTTAGGAGAAGGGCAGAAGCAAAGCTTATTGTCCTTTAAAGAGGGAAAGCCAAAGTTGACACCTATGGCATTAGTGTCAGACTTTTGAGCTAATTTGAGATACAATGATAAATAAAAGAACAAGGAAGTTACAGATGATGAGTAGTAATAAACTGACAAAATTAGGTCCAACAAACATCACTATAAGGGTCACTTCTATTTTGGATCAGTGGATTTCTTTGTTATCAGAGTAAGCTACTTCAGTAACAATCCTATCAAATCTTATCCATCTGTTTTCGACTTTTATGTATCTTACTGGCCTAGTGCAGTTGTCCAATCATCGTTGTAATATTTTCTTACACCACTTATCTTGATTTCATTCCACATGTATGTGAAGGTTAAAATTGCTCTGATTCTAACACATCCTTCAAACTCTAGCTTTTGCCCTACTTGAATCTGAAATTTTCACCAACAATTCTTGTGCATTCTTTTTTGTGTTGCTAACTACTGAAAGAGGCCAGGGAGAAGGAAAAAACTGATCAGGTTTTTGGTGCAAGGTGCAATTGCTAATTTTAGTATGTGAAAAACATTTACTAGAGAGAATTGCAAACTTCAGAATCTATGAAATAAAAAGACATACCAGCTTCTGCTCCAGATAACCCATCTTATGAATTTGTTCTATTTTAAAAGCGTTTAACTCTTCCATACCTTGCATCAACTGCATGTGTACATAAAAATAATAGAACATTTGTAAATGAAACAAAATATAATAGAAATGCCCATGATGGAAAATTAAGGGATGGGTGGAGAATTGACATCACCAAGTACCTGCGATATGACAGAAGGATAATCAAATGAGTTAATGAGACTTTGTCCATTCCTTTCTTCTGAATTTGTTTGTGCCTCTGATAAACCTTTGTGCCTTGAGTGCACACCATTTACAGTAGCAATATCTTCAACATCCATTAAAGGTGGGTCTGACCGTTGCCGATTAAGAGCCAACTCTTTTAGTTTCATGTATATAAGGTCCTCCTCCTTTTCCACCACCTGCTTAACTAAACAATCTTCCAATGGATGGTTGTTTCGATCTAAATGCGTAGTAACATCTGAAGAACCCAACCCATTGCCATCATAGAAATAAGGAAAGTCAACCTCCAAGGCTGGTAGCATCAAACCTTCAATTTCCTCTTTTCTATCATGTGAGGGTGGAGCTTGGGATATTAATGGCCGGTCATGAACTTTTAGGGGCCTCTCAGGTGTGTAGATCACAGATATGTGGTTCAAAGTTCAAGAAAAAAGGTCCAAGGGGTTCAACATTAGCCCGGAAGAAAGGGGTCAAAAGGGTCAGGTGACCTTAATGGCCGGCCATGAACTTTTAGGGGCCTCTCAGATGTGTAGATCACAGATATGTGGTTGAAAGTTGACAACATTAGCTCCAAGGTATTCAACATTAGCCCGGAAGTGCGAAAAACGGGCGCCGGGAGGCTCCGGAAGAGAGATAACTGGTTGTTGCAACAATTGCTGGCCTCCCACCCTTCAGTGACCTTCCTTGTGATAAAACAGAGGTACCTGCCAAAAATGAACGAAAACCGTTGCAAAACGAATGTTCCGGGGCCAAAACACGCAGTTCGGGGTCCCGAAAATGGGCTGTTAAGCACCGAAAATGGTATTCGACCTCGAAGTGGGTTTCTTAGCCCCCAGTGTCCCTCAAAAGGGATCAAATAAGATGTATGCCAAAAATCAAAGCAATAGGAGATGGTTAAGCGGTCCCGAACCGAGGCACACGGCCTGACGGTTCCGAAAATCGGGAACCGGACTCCGAAATGGGCAAAATGGCCTACGGCCACCAAATGTAGCCTACGGCCACTGAGAGATAGTCTACAGGACCTCTCCCTCCCCTCAGGAAAAGAAACAGAGAAAATCGAGTCTGGCTCGCAAACCGAGATAAGGCACAGAAAAAGGGTTCGGAAGTCCGGAGGTAGGGCTCACGGCCGCGACTTTGAAACTTCTGAACAAGCACATTATGCAACATCACCAAGTGCTCAATCAGTGACGTCTGAGTCTTAAGGTCGGTCAAAAATGGGGTGTCTACAGCATATCACAAAAATCCGAAAACGAACTGTTTTCAAACTCACGACCATGATGAGTTCGGATTCTTATGATACGCCTAATGAAAAGACCCTGTTCATTTCGGATTTTACGGACTAAGGCCTGAAAAACATCAAAAGTATCAGATTTTTCCCTTAAAAAATTTATCCATGAAAACCGAGTAAAATCTTCAACAGTTAAAAAAATGTATCTTTTACCTCCAATACCTTCAGTGCGAGTAGGACCCATTAAATCCATGTGAACCAATTCAAGAGGACGTTTGGTTGTAAAGCTGTTCACCTTTTTATGAGGGGCACGGGTTTTCTTTCCAAGTTGACGTGGTCCACACACATGATTCAGATTCTTACCTAGTTTAGGTACTCCTCTCACAAGCTCTTTGTTGGTTATCTTAGTTAGGTCTTTAAAATTCATGTGACCTAATCTTTGATGCCACAAATCAATGTTACTTATGATGGTTGAGTGACAAGTGAGATCATTAGTAGTAACAATCCCATAGCAGTTATCAGATGTGCGAATCCCATGCAAGATAGTATTTCCCTTTTTATCCAAAATTTCACATTTATTTTTTAAAAACAATACTTCATGGTGGGAATCACACATTTGACTAATGCTCAAAAGATTTGCTTTAAGACCATCAACAAGTAATGCATTTTCAAGCTTGGGAAGACCAGCTATACTTATAGAGCCCTTACCAATGACTCTAGAAGTGCCACCATCTCCAAATGTAAAAATTTCACCTTCATATTTTTCAAGGGAGGTGAAGTAGGATTTGTCACCTGACATGTGACGAGAGCACCCACTATCAAGATACCACATGTGTGAGTCACGTGCTTTTAGAGTAGTGTGAACAACTAGACAAGTCAAATTATCTTTTATCACCCAAATCTTTTTGGTCTTAACAAAATCAGGTCTGGTGGTCTTGGTAAATGTCTTGGCGTTGTGAACACCCTCATGAATCTTGGTGTTCCGCCTAGACATGTAAGGTTGTCTCCTAACCCAAAAAGTATTAGAATTTCTACCCTTCTGAGACACTTTACCAAACAATTCAAAGCAGTAAGGATGAATGTGGCCATACCTACCACAGTGATGACAAATAAAAACAGGTTTTACCTCCCTTTTGTTGATCTTACCCCTTTTAGGTAGATGAAGAGAGGGATCACCCTGGTCTACCTTCAACTTTCCCTTTGCTTGAGTCTTCAGGTCATGTGATGTAGATGCTTGTCCCTTGTGAGCTGTCGCATTACCATAGCCTAGCCCACTTTTGTCACAACCCATTTGTTGAGACCCAAGGATGTCTTCTAATGATTTGGAACCTTTGTTCCACATGGCAATTGTGGCTCTAGCAATTCGGAATTCTTCATCTTTCTGACACACCATCTCTTCCAATGTAGCTTGTGACATCTCAAGGCTTTCAAGCTTCTCTTCATATGTGGAATACACTTTCAGGAGTTCATTCCTTTCAGTTTCACAGGATAGAAGTTTCTCACATAGGTCTTGCTTGTTACTAGAGATCTTGATGACATTCTACTTTGTTGTTACAAGTTCTCCTTTTAGCTTGACATTCTCGCTTTCACATGCTTTGAGCTTGAGAGTGAGTTTGTCATTGATCTTGGACAAATTCAGAGATTCATTGTAAAGCTTTTCGTAAACTTGTTGTAGATCATCACTATTAATCTCATCATTGTCTTCTGATGTTTCATCATCTTCTTTTTGCTCCCCATTCTTCTTGACCTCATCTAGTCGAGCAACTAAAGTAGGAAAGGTGATACATGGTGGTGAAGATGACTCTCTTCTTTCATGAAATTGGCTCAGAATTTCCTATGCATCTTTAGCCTTTGTGCAGTAAGCAACCCGTTGCTGTTCTTTATCAGAACTTGCTCCACGAATAGTAATCAGGACTCTCTGATTGCTCGGATTGTCAGCATTTTCAACATCTTCTTCAATGGCTTGCCAGCCTTCAGGGTCAAAAGCTCTCAGAAACGCCCTCATTTTGATCTTCCAATACAAGTAATTACTTCTATCAAATGTGGGAGCATGATGCGGATTCTGACCATGAGCAGATTCCGCTGGCTTTGGAAGAGGTTGTGTGAAAGTGGACCAAAATGCCATAAAAGCACTATCCCCGTCTTCACCAGATTCAGCTTCTTCGGGTTCTTGCTCTGACCCGCTTTCATCATCCCAAGTCACTGTGTAGACTTTCTTCCGATTCTATTTCGAAGGACATTCAAGGGAAATATGTCCAAACCCTTGACATTCATAACACTTGACCCCTTGCCCCTTTACAATATTCTTTTCAGTTTTTAGAGCAAGTTTTGGTGGAAAAGTTTTGGGTTTATCATTACTCTTGTCTTTTGAAATAGGGTCTCTGAAATTAGGCTTCTTTTTCTTTAAATTTTTTTTGAACTGTTTAGTAAACATAGCCGTCATCTCAGACTCTAAATCAAACTCAGCCTCAGGAGTTTTTGCAGTCTCATGAGCACTAGTGAAAGCCACAGTATCTTTTTGTTTTTTCTTGGAAATCTAGTGGGCTTCATAAGTCTGTTGGTTTCCAACCAACTGATCAAGCTTGAGGGTATCAACATTCTAAGCCTCCTCAATGGCAGTCACTTTTGATTGGAACCTCTCGGGTAATGACCTCAAAATTTTACCAACAACTTTAGCTTCAGGGATTTTTTCACTGAGTGTGAAATAGGAATTCACGATGTCACTGAGTTTTGCATAGAAATTATCAAATGTCTCATTATCATGCATAAAAAGGGTTTCAAAGGCAGATGTGAGACGTTGAAGTTTTGACCTTTTAACAGAAGTAGTACCTTCGTGAATCGTTTCAAGAATGTCCCAAGCCTCTTTTGCTACCTCACACGTGCAAATACGACGAAACTCTTCAGATGTGACGAAGCAAAGAAAGAATTGAGAGCCTTACTGTTCCAACTTGAGTTTTGATAATCGGTTATGTCCCATTTATCAAGGGGTTTGGGAATATCAATACCATCAATGGTGACAATAAGTTCACTCCACCCATAGAGCACACAGTGCCAAACTTTATCATCGATGGATTTTAAAAATGCTCTCATACGAGCTTTCCAATAAGAATAGTTTGTACCAAGTAGTGGAGGTCTATGGGTCGAGTTACCTTCACGTATTGAATCCATATCACCAATCACACAAAATCACAGTCTATGATTTTGATAAAAACAAAGAGTGACCTGCTCTGATACCAATTGAAAATCTTAAGTGATTCGTGATTATATTAAGATTTAATTATTCCAACGCCCAATCATTCAAAACACACAACCTAAATCATCAAGCACTTACGAAAGTGATTTAGATTGTTATTTTCGAAAAACAGTAAATCAACACAAACGATTTTTACGTAGAAAAACCACAATTGATGCACCTTCAATTGTGATAAAAAACCACGGTGAAACGCCACTAATCAATCCACAACTGAAGAAAGAAAGATTACAAAGATAACAAACAAATTACCAAACGCATCCAATTTGTCTTCAAACCTTCTGTAAATCTTTCACCACAGGCTTCATTTCGGAATGGATTATCCTGAAGTTGAACCCACAACTTTACTTATCGAATCAAAGACTACGCACAGTATCAAACTCCTTTGAAACTCCACGTTTGAATCTCCGGAATCCACCGAAGAAGAATACTCTTGAATATAACCAATCAACCTCCTTGATATGTGCTTATCAATACATGAGTTTAATACTACTCAAATCATCAAGGAAAACTCACAAAAAACTTCAGAAGAAAACCTCAAAAGAAATCCTAAGACTCTTAAAGAAGATCTAAGAAAAGTAACCCTAGAGTTGGACCAACAAACGAATTTATAGAAGCAGAGATCGCGCGATCCGCTCGAGCGGGGGAATGGACGCTTGAGCGGGGACTCTATATCGCGTGTTCTAACCCAGGGTTCACGCTCGAGCGGAAGATCCCATGCTCGAGCGTAGAAACACATCACTCAGTATTTTTGCAGACACGCGAAATATTGTGAGTGTGTATACTCCGCTCGAGCGGCTCTTTTCCCGCTCGAGCGAGAAGAACAAAATAGGAAAATTCCAACTTTGATTACAAACTATTTTTTTCCATG